TTTGTGTTGTTTTTGTTCCCGATTTTCCTTTCCAATTTAAATGAAAAAGTAAAAATTTGCGGGGAAAAAATGAGTAAACAAAAATAATGCAAGCGCGCCCCATGGCTAACAACGTTCCAATTAGGGACAGTTCGACTCCAACACAGTTCGAATTTCGCACGGTTCGATTCTGCTCTTGTTCTGTTTTGACACATGTTCGATTTTAGGTCTGTTCGATTTTGGAAGCGTTCGAATTCGTCGTAACCCACTGATATTATCCTGAAACTTTTTTGACAAATACAGTATCTCTTTTGAACTTGAAAAAGGCTAGAAACCTAGTAAATGATTTTTTGTGTTTCTCTCCAACTTTCACCAAAGTGACATCAAATCCACAGTGGAATTGCACTCTATTGTTCGGAGGTTCTGGGCTGGCACTTTATTGTTCGGAGGTGCTCTGGGGTGGCACTATATTAGAGGCTGGCATCCAATTAGGGGTGACTATCTAATAGAGTTTTTACGGTAAATCAGTTTTTTGGGTTACTGTAGAATATATCTAGACTTTACTGTTGGGCGTTCCGATCCTTCAAAAAAAAAAAAAAATTTAAAATTATAACGTCGCGGATATTCTGAGATTGTGAAACTCTAAAAATCCTTTTTAATTCCAAAAATTCAAAAAATGATAAGTTCAGAAATTCGGAAATTCAAAAACTCAGAACTTCAAAATTCTGCATTTCTAGAATTTTGTAATTAAAAAATGTTGAAGCTCAGAAATTCAGACATTCAGTAATTCAAATATTCAAAAATTCAGAAATTCCAAAATTCAGAAATTCAGAAACTCGAAAACTTAGAAATTCGAATTCCGAAAATTGTAAAGACAAAAAAATCCTAAATTCAAACATTTAGAAAATGAAAAAAAATAGGATATTCTGAAGTTTTATTGACATATAAATTTCATGAAACAGAAATACATTGGTTCAATATGTCAAGGGTGCTGAAAAGTTTTGAATTACATTCATTTTGAATTTTCACTGCGAAAAATTGAGAATTTATTTTTTTTTCAAAAGAAAATCACTTTCTAAAGAAACTAATTTTCCACCAATTATACAAAAACTAATTTCAAACCTTATACACAAACTAGAACATGGCATCTAGAATGTTCTAAATAAGGATTCAACAAGAAAAGTTATACTATGTCTTTGTATTTGAAATTTTGCAGTTCTCCGGTTTGACTAGAGCGTGGGAAAAATATTTAAACTTTTGATTGAAACGCCTGGCTAAACCTGCCGGGTGTCTACTCAAGCAGCTCAATGTTTATGTCATGTGACAGGTCGATTCGTTAGTTTCCCACCTGACAAGCCAATGTTGCACTTTTTGAGACCAACCTGAGAAAATGTCTCAAAATAACTCCTTAAACTTTTGAATTTAATGGGCTGATTGGCTGAAACCATTCTTAGAGGGTGGGATTGCGTCTTCCAGAATCTTAAAATTTGTTTTCAAATACTGCTAAAAAACCTTTAGATATATGATGATTTTAAACTGAGAAAAATATTATTTGTTAATAAAATCAAAATTTTCGTACGCACTTCAGAAGTTTTCAAAGTTGAAGCTGTAAACGGATTTATAGGTTCTGGAAATGCTCTTTCACCCTGTGACTTAAGACCGTTCAATTGTATCATCATAGTTTTCAGTAACGTCTCAAACATAATAGAAACACATCATCCCAGTGATATCTCTGAAGATCTTTGTCCTCCCTATCACTTCACATTCAATTCTTACTGTAACATTTGATGCCCAAAATCATCCCCCCTACCATTATCTGTTTTAAAAACCAAGAAAGTGAAGACGAAAAAAATGGAACGATAAGGGCAAAAAAAAGACAGCGGCAGTAACGTGATGCAGTGCCGAGGGGACGGCATTTGTTTGTGACCGCTCGGTTAAGAAGAAATGGAGAGGAAGGGAAAACGCGACTACGCGAAACAACCATCAGTTCATAATGAAAATTCCGAGAAAAAAGTATACTTTGGCAGAGGAAACGAAAAGTGTGTGTAGATAAAAGAGACGACAAGTAGTACACTGTAGTACTACAGTAGTACTACATGCCAATTGCTGCTGAGGTAGAATAAAAAAATTTTTATCAAATACACAAGTTGGTGGTGAGACTGGCTGTTTCCATTTTGACAGGAGAAAAGTTCTTATTACAATAATGATAGCAGAAACCGAGAAAAAAAGGAAAAAACGATTGATTGGAAAAAGGGAATAAGTTTTACCAAGATGATAATAATGTTATGGGTAATTCAGTGCAAAATTAAAACTTCTCAAAAAACCGTTAAGTGGAATTTTACAGGTGGTGGTAAGTGCATCACGCTTATAGGCCATCTGTTGAGCTTTATAGCTTTATATACAGTAAACTGTGCGATCCGGAAGCTGAGGAAAATAGAAATCGTTATCAGCTAATAATTGATTCATAAGCTTAGCAACAGGGTTTTTAAAGTCGGTACGAAATCTGCCACTTTCCAGTCTCACATGGAATATATTAAGAAATATATTAGGAAAATTTCTGTTTAACGAGTATTCATAGGTATTCTGATATTTTTTATCAGATTTTTCCGGTTTATCAAAAAATCCTCACCAGTTTCAGTTTGAGTACTGAATCTGCTCATTGAAAACCTATAAAATAATACATTTATTCAATAATTCTTCGTTAGTTTCAGATATAAACGAAATATTTTGAGCCCTTTTGTAGGAAAATAAGTGGGCGGGGCTTATCTCACCTGGCTAATCTCACACTGTCTGGTCTGGACACTGTCCCGAAATTAAGATATTCCATAAACCGATGGACCTCCGCAGCTAGGCCCCGTTTTTCAAAGAATTGAACGAGTTTCATTTTTCTTCAGAAAAAAAAAAAAAATTTTTGAAAAGTTTAGTTTTGAAGATTTATGTTCAATTTTTCAAACACAGGAAATTGACTCAAAAAGCTTATTCCGAAATTTTCTTAGAGTTCGAAAATTTTTCTGAAAATTTTTCAAAAAGTAATTCCAAGACAATGAAATGATAACTAAACATATGGATTTGCATGATTTCAGAAATGATAATGAAGCTCAGAACTGAAAAAAAAAACAGCTTACACTTTGTTAATCTCCAATGTTCTCTTCTGTATTCTCACTAATCCTTGAATGCAAACTAAGAAGCTAAGAAGCGGGCTACAGCCAAGCAAAAATTAGTTTTGCACGTTCGTAGAATTCTGTACGAGGATCAAAATTTGGTAAATGCACTCATCTGAAACTGGAAAAAGTGTTAGATCGAGTAAACAATAAAATTGTGAAAATGGAAAATTAATTTTTTTCTCACAAAGAACAGTTTATTTTGTATAAATAATAAATAAGCACTTGGAAAAAGAAAAAATTTAATAGTGCTAAGATCTTAATGAATAGGAAACTCAATCATCTACTTCTTGGTTCTCCTCTTGTGACTGATTGTCAGCACTTTTTTCATATTGATCCTGTAAAATTAATTTTGAATTTTTCCTAGAAAAGGTATCAAAAAAATGTTTACTGATAAACTATTTTTTTCACATTTCAGTCAATCTCTCGAATGAAACTCACGTTATCCGCCTTAGATCTGGTTTTCTTGACAACTCTAGCGTGGTACGGTAAAACCCATTCTGTGTCTTTTTCTTCGAATGTCTGAACTTTTAAAAATAAAACAAGTCCTAGTTTATCTATCAATTTACCTTTTCTTTCCCTCTTCTATAGACTTTTCTCGGTGGTTTTCTACCTTTCTTTGTTGCACTTTCAGTGTTCGGGCTCTGAAACAACAAGTATATAAGCAGAGCTAAAATATAGGTTTCACCTGTTCCGTGGCTGCTGGTCTCCCTCTTTTTTTCGTTGGACCTATTTTTCGTTTTTGTGGCTTCTCTTTCAAAGGGGTGGAGGATTGAGAAGTTCCTTCTTCATTTGTACTTTCCTCTATTTCTGGGATAGAATCCGGGCCGATGCTAGGTTCATTTGATATTGAATTCTGAAAACATGAATACACTTGGGTGGAATTTTCAAAAAATCCTTACATTCAAATCAACCGTCACGCTTTCCTCATTTATTTTTAGAATCAATGGTTCTGCTGTCCGTCTTAGTGGTTCTGAATCAGCAGAAAACTCGAAATCATCCACTTCCGATTTGATTCGAATTATTTTTTCAGGAAGAGTGGATTCAAGGGTCGAGCTTTCATAATATAGTTTATTCTCACTAATGGCATTGATATAGCAGCTAGGACCAGGACTACATTCAATCTCATTTTTGATAGCTGCCACATTTTTGGATCCAAAATTTTCAGTCACATTCGTTGAATGACTCTCCTTGGCAGATTTATCCTGAAAAGGTGAAATTGTCATAAGACATGTGTGTTTTTACTCACAGAAAATGTCGACAAAAGCTGATTTTCTTTCAGTTTTTCACATACAATATTTTTCTGTTCAGTGGTTTTGACTTCATTCTGAACTAGATTTTTTAAATGACTTTTTTTCTAACAACCTACTGGTTTACAGCTTGTTCTTGAACACATAGCAGTTTCTCTGTCGAATTTTGCACTTGGAATGTTGTTCTGCTTCAAACTGTCCAGATTTGGAATCCCATGCGCAATTTTCACAAGATGCTCAAACGTGACTATTTGTGTAGTTGCGATGTGGGACTGAAAAAAGGTAAGTATAGCCGTTGAAGTATTTCCACAACACTTACGAGATTACTAAAGAGAAGTCCCAATTTGTTATCACGAGATCGAGAAATGTTGTATGCTTGCTCATATTGGAGATGTCGGAGCTGTTTTAGTTGGTATTCTTCGGCGACTTGTAGCTTTAAAAATATTGATGAAAACTTGAATAGGGTACATTTCAGTACCAGAACTGTAATTTTACGTTGATTCACAAGTTTTGCAGATGTTAGGGTTTTTGGTACTCCTAAAGTTTTAGGCACTGTTCTAGAATCACGGAACAAAAAAATCACGGAACGAAAAAAAATCACGGAACGAAAATTTCAGGTTATCCAAAAATTGCTACGACCTTCATCCAAATACTATCCAGAAATCTAAATTCGACATCACTTTTTTTTCATCAATATCCAAAATTATAGCCCAAAAGGTATATTAAGTCCTTTTGATACACTGTTTGATGATGTACATAGTTAATAGGTTACATAGGATCTTTCCCAGATGTTCTAATGATCATGGGTACATCTGTGAGTTAAATTTGTAGCTGCAACAAACATAGTTGGTCATTACATCCAATTTATCCGACATCGTTTTGACCTATTTTACTTTGAATGTATCTGACGCTAAAAATGGAAAGGACTTTCCGAACAACCTAATATTTCGAAACATTTTACTTTTTCTTTTAAATTCAAAAAACAAAGATGTCATGCAAATCTTTTTTTTAAACCCTAGTAAGCTAGATTAACATGAGCTGACTTACTGTGTTCTGGCTGTTGGTTTTCGTTTTTGTTCTGATTTTCGAATTCGTCTGAGAAATACCAGATGGTGATGATATACTTGCACTTTGTTCCATAGCACTGTCCTCCGTCATTTTGGTTTTCAATTTTTGGAAAAATTATGCGTGACGAGAACTCTGATAAGGAATCTTTAAATAAGGCCATTTCAATTTTTGAGTAACATCTGTTTTTCAAAAGGTAAAAAATTTGAAAAGAATCCTATCTTAAAATCCTAAAAAAAGAGACCCTGAAAAATAATATATATATATACATGAAAAATCATTTTTTCATTAGATGATAATTCTGTTTCGATTTTTCTAATTTCTAGAATTTTCCGAACCAAATATTTGTGAATCACATGTAAAATTGTGAAAGAAGATTAGGAAAACAAAAATAAACAATTGTCATTTGTTTTCCCACAAAAAAGTAATCGAAGTGAGAGAGAAGGTAAGTTAAAAGTGATGGAGGTAGAGCTGACATAGAGCGCGCTGATATCATTTGTTACTGATAAGCGCGAAAATTTTGTGTTTCCCATTTTCTGTCTGAAAAAAGTGTTGCTGATAACTTGAAAATGCAATTTTTCAAATTGTCGGTAAAATTTTTCGCGTAATAGGTATACTAGAGAATTTCCATGTAATCAGTTTTTTTCTAGTCACGGAAAAATACAAATTTATAATATTTATTTATTCTAAAGTTATGAATGATTCCGATTTCTTTTCAATTTTTTTTTCAAAAAACATAAACCTTTAAAATAAAATTAAATGTTTCTTAAAAAAGTTTGAAATGATCTTTTGATATTCTTTTTGGAATTAATACACTAATTCAAAGATTTGTAAATCTGAAAATCTAAAAAATACTCCAGTTTCAACCTTTTAGTTATAATTTTTAACAAGATGTATATCAAAAAAAAATAAAAAATTTGAATAACAGTTACAGTATGAGATGAAAATCAAATCAAATGAGTTTTCTAGAAAATTGAAAAAAAATCTTAAAAATTATGCATGTCCGGAATTAATAGTCTCTGGGAAAAAAACTAGTCTCAATAAAATTACATGTTTTAAATGTAAATATCCGCGAAGTTTGAAAGTTTTATAAATTTTCAGGATGGATAGAGGGAGAAGATTAGAACTTCAATTGTTCATCTGAAAATAAAAGAAAAATGATCTTTAAATCATCTGGAAAAAATTCTTACCGTTGCTGAAAGCTGCTGGGATCGAGAGTTATCCAAATTTACAGAAGACAGCTTATAGTAATTCCTTATGAACTGCGTGTACTGAAAAAAAGGACATTTTTCAAAAAAAAATCGTGCGAAAATTTTAAAATCAGTATTAAAATTTTCCTTCTGCTCCAGTAAACCGTACCTGCTCAACATCGGGTTGCTCATCCAATGGTTCTTTTTTCACAATGCTATTCGAAATTACATTTGGAAGAAGAAGACTGCTTGGGTTCTCCATCAAATGTTCTGTCACTGCTTTGTAGGATTTAAAATGTATCAGCAACCGGACCACTCTAATCTAAAAAATAGAAAAGTTTAGTGAAATTCGGACTTCTTAAAAACGTACTAGCTCAAAAGGAACATTGTCGTCATTATTCACTTCTTCGGCAGATGGCTCCTTAAACGCCCAATCGAGAAGCAGCCTGATATCCTTTTTCGATAGTTTCAATAGTCTTTCTTTGTAGGAATACATTGTGGCATTGATATCCTTCTTTCGCTCTGCCTCGAGTATTCCTATTAATGGAAACGGATCGTCAGCAAGTCTCAATTCAGCCAAAACATTCTCCGCCGATTCTCCAGACCACAAAAGCATGAGAGACTTTCGCAATATGCTCCAGTGAAAACGATTCAGTTTTTCTCGCTAAAAACAAAAATTTAAAAAACAGAGTATATTAAACACAACTGACCAAACTTAACCCTCTCATTGAAATTTTTCTTTGCACACTGAAATGATTAGAACGACGGTAGCAGAATCTGTATCTAGCGTAGGCAGAACATACCTGAAATATGAGACATTGGAAACATCAATTTGCATACAAAAGATAAATACCACTTGTCGGTTGACTCCGTATTTTGCCCCAATAATTTCAGCTCTTGCCTGCGACATATAGGAACAATTACAAAAATCCCTGCTGAATTTCGATGCCAAATCTTCGATAACTTTTGTTTTGCCAACAGTTTCCTCTCGTAAATAAGTCCAAAACGCTTCGGGTTGTGGTTCAGGCAGATTTTTCAGACGCTTAATCATTTGTTCATCTTTGAGATCATTCAACAAATATTGCAAAACTTCATCTGCAGGTTGGAAGACATCAGATGTTGTGGATACGGGGCTAGGAACAATCACATGTGCCGGCTGTAATGAATTTCTAACTTGAAAATAAGATGATCATACTTTGTAACAATATATGGGAAATCAATTTTGTTATTAGAAACCTTATCACTGTTTTTGCCGTATCTTTGTTGTCCGCTTTTGCAAAATTTATTTTGGCTAACAAGGGAGCCTAACACTTTAAAAACCCACAATTTCATTAAAATTTGCAAAATCCTCTTACCGGAATCATTTGTGGATGAATAAATGGAAACGCAGGCATTTGATGAAAAGGATGAAACTGTAATTTGCGAGATTTTAATTTTGAAGTTAAAATTTAGCACAATCATCATTATTTCAACAATTTGAATGTACAGAAATGAGATCTCCTTACCATATGAGGGTGAGGTGGAAACATCATTGGTGGAACAAATCCTGGGTATCCCATTAATCCTGGAATTGCCGGATACGGTAAGTGAGCAGGGTGCACAACAAAATTCATATTGTATAAATTACCCTGCATTTCTGGTCCGCGTTGCATCTGAAAACTGACTATCATTCAAATGTTTTATGTGGTCTGTTCACCGGATTCGGCTGACCAAAAGGATTGAAAAACGATCCTGGCACTGGTTGAAGCAAGCGTGATATTTTCTGTAAACGCTCAATTAGAAGACATCAGCAAAACTGGGAGTTTGAAAGATCAGTTCTGCATGAAAATCAGAACATACCTGGTGAGGCATTTCAGAAATGGTGTTCGGTTTTGATACCACAGCTTTGGGAGCATGAGATGGAACTGCTTGTGTTCCAGGTGCCGGTTCCTCCGATTGGTTTTGTGAAGTTGAACTCGATGGGACTAGGTTTGTATTTGGAGTTGAACTCGATGGTGCAGTAGATGGCTTTGCATTTGAAGTAGGACTCGCTGGGGTAGTAGCTGGGTTTGTAATTGGTGTGCATTTCTTGTTTTGGTTCATTCCTTCACCACTTCTCTCCGGCTTCTTCTGAAAAATTCGTTTTCTTAGAAGTAGTAGCAAGAAGTTTGATACATAGATGAACTAGCTTCAAAAATTCCGTTTTTCCTAATATTGCATACTTACAACTTTCAGATTTGCCATTTCCAGAGGATCCAAAATTATTGTTGCAGCAAGAGGGATAGTTGTGGGCACGAGCTCTGCTTTCTGAAAACATAACTGTCATTAATACAGCAAACATTTGTGGTCTTGAAAAATCGCAATATCTAAATGAAAATCAGATTTTGAGACTTCAAATACCTCGGGAGAAGAATTATTTTTTGCTGGCACAGGTACGTTTGCTTTGGAGACAGGCTCTGCATTTTCCTGCATTCCGGAATATGTTGTTGATGGCTCCATCTGTAATACTATTATTGTTATCCTATAAAACAATGACCAAAACAGCTGGACGGACTGTTTGGAGTTTCAAGGACCTACCAATTTATGTCGTAGAATTTTCACTTGGTCACGGAGAACTGTTGAATTTTTTGAGAAGTTGTGGTAGAAGACTTGCTCAGAGAATCGTGATTATTAGGTGTGGTACCCTTGGGAGACACCAAAAAAAAGGTGAAAGGCTTTGACACCATACAACATGCCTCGGATACACGTTTTAAATGCTGCTGCATTCCGAAACTCATATTTTTCTGTTCTATCTTTAAAAATACACAAGTTGTTTGGACTGTGATTGTAAAAAAACGAAACTGTGGAGCTAATCAAAAATTTGAGGACCAACCATATAAATTTGAGTCATTCCAACTTGATCCAGAAAAACAACTGGAGATTTCGAAGGAACGGCAATTGGAGAAGCAGAGGAGGAAGAAGAAGTAGTGGCAATATTTGAATTCTTGTCTGCAGCAGCGGTCCCTATCTGAAAATTTGGATTAGAATGAACCTTGACCACGTTACACTCCGCTAAAAATAATTTTTCGTACCTCGGAAGAGATTGGGGAAGTGACGCTTAGTTTTGGCACTGACAAAACTGATTTAGAGGGTTTTTGAATTCCAGAAACCGAACTTTGTCGCTCAGTCTGAAAACATATACATAACTTTCACTTCTTATTTTTACAAGAGCTCTGACTAAGCGAAAATTTTAGTCAGTGGAAAATAGCAGCCAGCAAGTTTGCAGTCCTGCCGGAAACTTTTTTTTCAGTCTGGGTGCTTTTATCTCTTTCTAAATTGTCGGAAACAGTCCCTCGATTTTTTTGTTAAGGTGTTCTTCTGGGATGGATAGCCTTCAGCAGCCTAGATGGCCTAGAATTTTCTGGTTATCTTCGTCTATTATCGAAATAATGGACGGTTTGGACTACGTCAACCTACTCACGGGCTGCGGTTTTATGTCCGACAAAATTGATCTTGACTACACATTACAAAATGTTCGAACTGAACTGGCAGAGTTTCTGATATCTCACCATCTGAAGTCGTGGTATTCCCAATCGATCAATGTAAACTTTTGGTGTTTTTTGAGCAACTGATTTTAGAGAAAAAGGGAAACCCTGGTCCTGAAGTGTGCCAATTCTCGAGTTATTTGTTTCCAGTTCCGACAAATTTATCTGAAACACACAATAATCCTAATAATTGTTAAGTTGTCGCTTTTTGAGAAAACTCGGTTTGTGATAAACTCACCGATGGAACTTCTGGTGCTCTGAAAATCACACTTGAGCTTTGTTGAACACGAGCTCGTTTGACCGGTGGAGACAAATCCAGAGGCTGATCCTCCAAATTGATGGTTCGGCTTCGTATAAGATGAAAATCAAAAAAAAAATAAACGGAAGTTCATGCAAAACACACTGATTGAACTTGTGGTGCTGGCATTATTTTGACGGGTGATGTTGAAAGTATCACTGCTCTTTCAGAACTTGATAAATCAAGAGGAACGGTAATTGAGGAAGTGTCTTCTAGTATTTCTTTCAGTGATTTGAATATTTTAAGTCACTAAGAGAGAAGGGAAACTTACTATTAAATTTTCAGTCGTTGGTTTCATAAAGTCCACAATATGCTTCTGAATTCAAAAACTGTGTTTTCTAAAAAAAAAAAGAGAATTCCGACACTTACCAATAATTCCGTCACGTTTACTTCATTAGGAAGCACAAATTCCGTCTCATCGTCCTGATCCGAACCTTTGGCGAAGATGGAGCGCAGTATTTTCTGAATAATTCCTCGACTATTGGAAAATGCCAAGTAAATAAAGGCAACCAGATTATCAAAAAATTGGGATGTGTTTTGAACAGTTGAAAATATTTATCTCACTCACCAATAGCAAATCTCCATCCGGCGATGTGTTAGGCTGTTGATTGCAACTCATGCGAGAAATTGGTTGATGCTAAAAACCTGAAAAATAGTTAATCTCAAATTAAAAGGATGTCTTGAAACAATTTAAAATATATACATCAAGAAAAGTAAAACTTCAAAACGACTCATTGGTTCCATGGAAAATTTTCTCTGTGAAATTTTCAAATCCTTCGAACCAAAGTCAAAAGTTTTGTTTTTAAGTCGGCACCGTGAAAGTCCACCCTCTACGTCTACTTTGAACTCAATTATATCGGTTCCTATGCTATATATCGAAAATGTGTCAACTGATAAAATGTTTATCCTAGTATGACAAAAAAATTGTCAGTTCACTACTGTTGGATATCCTCGACAGAAACCGAGATTTTCGTTAAATTAAACAATCGACGAATTTTTCGATTACAGGTTTACGGTATTAGAGGTTTACGGTATGTAAGTATCGTATATTCAATTTAGGAACTTTGCATTTTGCTTCTCCGAGTTATCGCTTTTTGACGCTTTCTCATTTACTAAAAAAATTTCTCAAAAATAGCAACCCCTTTTTCGGTCCCCACGTGCCAGCGACCATAATTTTTATATTATTCCCACAGTTCGAGGAAATGAACTTTGATCAAATGAAAAAATATAATGAATCACGTGAAAATATAAGTATTATAACTAATAGGTTCCGTGAAAACGACCCCATGGAAAAAAGGACAGAGAACGGAGAAAGAAGAAATATGGAAAACAAATGAAATGCTGCTAAGTAATAAAGCAAATGGTGGTTATCTTATGGTGAGGTGCGAATGATTGGCAAGGTGAGAAGAACAAGGTTCAGAAGAAATGTGTGTGATATGAACTTTTTTCAAATGAAAACGATTGGATAAAAATTTTCTAAAGCTGACTTCCCATTCAGGTCATCTCAGTAAAGTTTATGATTTCTTTACATTTAAAAATTATTTGTATTAAAACTGAAAGAATAAAAATCAGTGAATGTAGGACGTTTCTAGAATTTCTAGGCTTCTAACACTGACCAAAAATATAGAAAATATAGATATGATTATACGAGGAAACTTGAGTATTGGTTTCTATTAGGAAGATCTGATTAGGCCAACTAGAATTTTTCAACCCTCTCTTTACTGATATCTACGTAATATACTCTTTCACAGCAGGTGGTCAAAAAAAAGCAATTAAACAAAGCGTTTGCATTCCGCCCTTGTTAAGAAGCGTCATGTTGATTGACAGGGGGTGATAAAAAGTTTAAAGAAGATGTGAAACGGCAATCAAGAGACAGTCGTATCGGTTTAATAGGTCCGATAAGAAAGGAGCGACCGAATAGCGATTCGAAAAAGAACTGGTAGATAAATTTAATACGGAGGTTTTTTTCTATGATTGTTTCGTGGAAATTTGGGAGTGTCGCTATCAGTCTCTCTCTGATGGCACCATTTACGGAAAATCGAGAGAAGAGGGAGAGAAGTTTATGAGAGGAAAGTTCGAGATTATAGTTTGGAAGGTTCGTTCTGCGTGCTTAGCAAAAAACTAATGATACCACGATTAATTCGAAAAGTTGGAAGGTGGGGAAAAGTGATAGCCATGTCAACGCATACTTGAAAAACATGGCTCGACCCGGGTTGGTGAGCTCGGGTTTCTCAACTTGAAAAATTCTGAAAGTCATTTAATTTAAAACTTCAGAAATTTGAAGTTCTGAAGATTATCGAAAATCTCTGAAAAAGTGAAAATTCACTGAAAACCCGAGCCGAAAAAATTCTGGAAAATAGCTCGATCCGGCTCATTACAAGTATTATAAAATGGCATTCGGTCTTCGATGAGCTAAAGCAAATTTTCAGAACTTAGCAGTTTAATGCCAGATTTTGAACTGTTTGATTTTCAAACGATTCTAAAATATTTCCAAAGTTTTATTTCTGTTTTCATAACGGTCATCGTGCGTTTTGTATTTCTCTTTCTTATCAAAACTCTAGATCTTTCTGCCAATCAACCATTTTCCTGCAAACCGATAAATAAAGCAGACACTTCTTCTTTTCCGATGTGTATACCTGACGACCAAACAATATGACTTCTCAATTTCTTCAAATTCTATCTCTCATGACGAACAAACGATTGAACATAAATCTTCTTCCCCTGCCAAATTGAAAGACAAACTGGATAACCGATTCAAGAAAAGTCCTCGAAAACTTCTCGCTAGTTAGATTTATTGCAGTGACGCAAAAATTCGAGATAAGATAATTTGAAATTTCGAGAATTGTAGTAACTTTTTTCATACTACGAACAATGGGGGTTGATGTAATTTCCTGTCTATTCGAATACAGGTAAATTAAGAACATTTGCTTGAATGCATGGGACCATTTTCTCAAATCAAAAACAGAAAAATGTGAAAAATGCAAATTCTTAGGTACAGTATCGGCCGATGATTGATAATTTTTTGATTTTTTGACTGTAACTTATTTCAAAACAAAGTTACAGTTTAAAAAACAAAGGAAATACTTTCGTGGCCGCTTTATCAGGGCTGAGCAAAAGACTGGGAGCCATTTTTTTTTCGAAAATTTTGAATGAGCAAAAACTCCGAAAGCAATGCTTTCCGATCATCGGCCAAATTTTTGAATCGAATGGAAACGCGTAAATGTTTTCAATATTGGCTGAAAAAAAGCAAAATTTGAAATCACAGTAATTCTTTTACACTACTCATGTTGTTTAATTAACTTTACTTAGTTTTTATATAACTGATCGTCCTTGAATCTGTAATTGATTAGAAATTCACAAATCAATTTCGGTTTCACCTGAAAATTCCCGAAAACACGTTGTTAGAATATTTTAAAAATAATTTAAAGTTTTTAAAAAATGGTGGCAAGAAAATTTAAAAAAAAAACCGACATGAAAAGTGAGAGAAAAATTTTGAGAAAATCTAGTTTAAAAAGATGATCACGAAAAAGAGAAAGAGAATGTGGAAAATATTTAAAAATGAGATTGGATTGATGAATACCTGGTAAGAAAAATGAAAAAAAAAACTGGCGCGAAAAGTGGGAGAAAAAATTGAGAGATCTAGTTTCGAAAATATGATTGAAAAAAGAGTTAAAGAAAGATTTTTAAAGGTAGATTGGATTTATGAAAAGTGTTCCTCTCGGCTCTGTGACAAATCGTACTGGATCAATTACTGGAAATAAAACAACATTTTTTTCTGAATATCTGAAACTTCAAACTTACTTTTTGGCTCTTCTTTAATTGTTTTTCCGCGTCCGGAGCAGACGAGGAACGTGGCTGAGCTGTATCATCAACCTAAAACTTTTCAATTTGTTGGCAAATCTCGGGGAATGTATGAACTTACCTTCTCAGCTCCTTGGCGATTTTCAGCAAGAACTACTTGCCGGTGGAAAACCTGTAAAAAATGGTTGTCATTCGACAAAATGTTCTTCATACACTCACGATTTCGTGGGGAACTCGTAAGCTCTGTGCTCTATTCTTTATTTTTTCCACACTTGCTCCGCTCCGCGCCACCTCGTCGACCACTTTCCTGGTATCAGGATCCAGCTGAGAGAATTCGATGGCGTAAAAGCTTTGGACAACCTCCTGCTCTCTGGCGCTCTCCTTTTTGAGAAAATCATGAATGAACGGTTGCATGGCCACTTTGCCTGTAATTGCAAGCTTATTCAACGCAATGTACAAAGCCGCGTATGTCGCCTGTGTCCAGTTGATGGGCATGTTGTTGTATTTCTGTAAATGGAATTATTTTTTTTTGTTCTGCTGGTTTTTTTTCGGTTACTTACGGTTTGCCATTGGAGATGAATGTCTTTTCTTGACTCATTAAGGTACTCGTGCAGTCTTTTAATCATCGCGTGCCTTGCATGCCAGGATTCGATCTGTACGAAAAATATGTAGTGGTAGAGTTAAATTACACAAACAATTTTGACTTTTATAAAGGACCTCAACACCTTGTGATCCCATTTTGAAAAAAATTTCAGGATAGGTTAAAAATTGACTATCCAGGCAGCTCTGAAAATGTGAGCCTTTTCAGCCTAGTTATATCAGTTCCATTACCAAAAATCAAATTTTCTGTGAAAAAAAAATTTCAAAAACGAGTTTCTCAACTTCTAGGACCTTTTAGAACATTATATTTTGTCATACTCAAAAATGAATGTGATTCCGTAATGTGATTCCGTAATTGTCCCGCTTTTTTCCAAGAATTCATACTTGCTAAATCCTGACCCGGCCCAGCTCGGCCCGGCCCGGCCCAGTCCGGCCCAGGCCGGGCTGGAGAAAAATTTTCCCGTCCCAACCCGGCCCGTCGGCCCGGGTTCCAAATATTTCAAAAGTTTTCTGTTTATTTTTGATACATTTTTGTCAAAATTATCATTTTAAAGCAAGAAATTTATCCCAGGGCTCTTCTTAAAGCTGAAAACAAAGACATTTTAATGAAATGTTCCCAAAAATCCAGTATTCTCTCCAAACATGACTGTTAAATTTTTTTTGCCTCAAAAACCCAGGCCAACCGGGCCGAGCCTGGACGGGCCAGTGAAATTTTCCCCACCGGCCCGGCCCGCGACAGGTATGCAAAAAAATTTTTTTTTCAATTTTCGAAACAACCTGAAAATCGAGGAAAAATTGAAAAATATTTTTTAGAATAAAAGTCTGGGTTTGCAAGGTGCTGAATTACCCTTGATTAAGTTTCTCGAGCTTCGTACGTTTTTCGAGCTTATCATTAATGTTTTCAAGACCAAAACTATACTTTTTCAACTTTAAACAGAACAACTTACCAATTCGATTGGCGTTTTGTACTCAAGAGACAATTTCAAGGCAAGCATCGGAGTCATTTTTAGAGTTGTTTTCAGATTGTCTGCTAACTCCTGAAAATTAGTTTTTTATACATTATTCAATTTTTTGGGGAGACTAGCAAAAGTTGTCGTTGATTCAAAAGAATAAAAACAACTTTTAAGAAAAAGCAAAAACCGTTACCTTCCTGATGGCCAATGGAATGTTTCGTGTAGCGACTGAAGGTGGAGTTGGAAGTGACCGTGTGTTTGAAGAACTTTGAGCGACTGGGTTAACCTGAAAATATGTTTTTGTTTCTTTGTTATGCTTTCTGATACAAAGTTACAATTTATTGGTTATGTGTCCAATTTGGTAGCTTTGAAATAATATAAAACGTACATTTGCGGATCTTCTACCACGGACAGCCGGTGGAATCCCTGATGTGCCGGGCAACGATCCATCACAGTTTCGGGAGCTTCTAGGATCTTCTGAAGGACCCTGCACCTTTTTATTTAAAGCAGAAGTTTTGGGCATATTAGATGGTGGGAGAGGAAGAACGAAATAAACCTGAAGATCAAACAATATCTGATTAGCTCTACGTAATATTAAAAACGCGATATTACCTTTGGTGGGTTTTCAGAGTATCGCGATGAACGTTGAGTATATCTTTTTCTCTGCGTAACTGGCATAGACTTCTTCAAAAGGTCTCTCACTGTGACTGAATCAGGTAAAGAGGACAGGCCAGTTGATGTCGTGGAAGACGGTTCCCCCTGAAACTGATAAAAACTAATAAGAAACTGGGAATGGATACAAAATAAAATATATTTTCTGCGACATTTTTATTAATAGCATTTGCGAACAATCATATTAAAGTTTTTTTAATTGTTTTACATTTTGGAAGCCAACAAAAAAGAATTTGAATGTTGCGAAAAATACTATTGTTTCTAACTAAATCTCACATTGGCAAGGTTATTAGAGGGACCAGCAGAATGGGCCCCATCAGAGTTCCGAGAGCTTTCGGGATTTTTTGGAATGTTCGTAATTTTTTGAGCAGTAGCAGACGTTCCAGAAACATTGGATGGTACGACTGGAAGTGAAGGTATGGCGACTGGAATCCGTTTCTGTAAAATACAAAAAATGTTGAATTCGCTTTATTTTAAAACTTCTGCCCTGTTCGATTATAGCGGAACAATGGAGAATGAACGATACAATGGCCGAATAAGTGCAGGCTCTGTCTGAGCTTACAGGTCCCATGGGTGTTAAAAGGTTAAATGGGATTTCACAGGGCTCATGGAAAATTACGAGTCTCAAAAACATAGGAAAACATAGGGAGGTCTCACATCCCTTATGGTTTGACAGTGGTTATATGTTTTCAATCATTTCGTATTCTTTATGTGTAGAAAACAATTTGATTGTTTTGACGGCCAACTCCCTCCTAATTCTTTTTCATTTTTATCCTTACTTCAATGTCTCCGGCCACAGCCCCATCTACTGCTCTACGAACTGGTGAAACTTTTTCTACCTGACGCATCATTAAAAAACAGGGCTACAAGAATTTATGAAATTGATGATTTTGGGGTCCATATTCCGAGGGAACATCGAAAAAGGGTACATTGAGGGTACACAGATCTTCTAGGGACTCTGGCTCAAAGACTGCATGAAATGTTAGGGTGTAGAGCGTTTCAGCCTAATGTAAGCCTATAATTTTCTATAACTTTTTTGTTTGTTTTTCACTACAGGCTTAGACTAAAACATTGTTTTTTTTCGAAATTTTTACCAGGCCTATAATTTCAAAAAAATATAGCAAATGAGCTGTAACAACTGAGAGTATAGCAAAAGATCTTTCAAAGCAAATGGGAAAATAGCAAATAATCGCAACCTCTTAACGAGAGCCCCCGAGAAGCTCGGTGTACAGTCAAAGTACTTTTTTGCAATGAATCCGAGATCCGGGGCCTTAATTTCATATGTTTCATAATTTCTTAGTAGAAGATCCACCAGTTCCAAGAACAGTAAATGCGGTCGTGGCCAGAAACATTCAAAAATCCATTGTACCATCCATTCCGCCAGTGTACCATTCATTCGGTCATTGTAGCACTCATTTGACCATTGTACTACTCATTTGGCCATTGTACCACTCATTCGGCCATTGTCCCGCTATAATCGAAAAGAGCCAAAACTTCTAGACTACCTTTGGTGGATTTTCAGAGCGTTTTGGTGGAAGGTTTGGCTCTTTTTCAGCTTTCTGTGTAGTTGGCACAGATGAAGTCGGAGTGGCGTTTACTGGGACTGGTCCAGGAATAGAAGTCTGACCAGTACATGGCGTAGAAGATGCTTCCTGTAATAAAAAGAATAGAGATTCTTTTATTATTGTACATTCATGGAAGAATCCGAAAAATGATGTGTTATTGCTCACATTGACGACTTTATTAACGCGAGCGATTGGTGGAGTGTCGAGTGTTTTAGGCGTTGAATCTTCTGTGTTCCCCGAGCTTCTGGAAACTTCCTTCGGGACGTTCGGAACAGTTCGGACAACTCCAGAATCAGCAGATGGTAAACTAGGAACTTGAACTGAGCCAGGCACATAAGATTGGACAGCTGACGTGGACACATCTTGCTGTAATTTATCCAAAATTTAAAAAAATATATTCAAAATGAAAAAATGTATTTTTTCATGCGTCCAATCTTTTTTTTGTAGTTTATTCATTTTTAAAAACCGAAGTTAATGTAAAAATGAAAGTACGTATGTTTCCAACTAACAATCATAATGTTTTCCATGGTTCTATTGATTTTTAGATCTTACAAAAAATTATCAAAGATCGACATTACAATTTTTTAATGACTGAAAACTCACGTCAACAATATTATTAGCAGGTGGAGCCCCTGATGTTCCAGGCATTGACCCGTCACAGTTCAGAGAGCTTCTGGAATCTTCCAAAAAATCCAGCACATTTTGAACAGAATCAGGAATTTCAGGAAAATCGGATGACATGGATGGCCAGGCGAAACGAATCTTTTTCTGAGAAATTATTAAAAGTATAATTATCTTCAATTTGAACGTTGTGAATTACCTTCTGTGGGTTTTCAGCCCGCTGTGGTGGACGTTGAACTCGTTTTCCACTTCTCTGCGTAGATGGTAGTAAAATGTCTTTCACTGTGACAGTAGCGGGCAAAGCACACTGGCCAGTTGAAGAAGTGGGTGGCGTTTCTTGCTGCAACTTATTAAATATTTTTCTGCGATGACTTTTGGTATGTTGATAAGGTTTCGAAACAATCATATTAGGGTTTTTTGGTGTTTAATAAATTTTTGAAAACCATAACAAAAAAAGCGAATAATTTAGAATAGTGGGTACAAAGCAATTTCAGGATGCAAAAACATGAATAAATCGAATTTTGTACTCTGGAATTATGGATTTTGTACCCCTGAATCCCTTTGCACCCCTTGTACCCCAAATCATTGTACCCTCCGAGTTCTGTTCCAAAAAATAATTCAACATTGAATTTTTTATGACAAAAAAAAACTCACGGTAACAGATGGAATCCCAGATGCACTCGGCAATGATCCCTTCGGGTTCAGAAAGCTTCGGAGATCTACTGGAAAACCAGGAAGATTTATAACAGGAACCCCGATAACATTGAATGGTAACGCTGGAAGGTTGCCGAAACAAATTTGCTCCTGTAAAATTTGAAATGATAGAATTAGCGTCAATTTGAAACTCATAAATAACCTTTTGAAAATTCTCAGAGCTTTGTAATGTAAGTTGTGATTGGTTTTCAGAACTGTGCAATGGCCCAGACGTCATGGGTGTGTCGTTTGCTGGGACTGGAGCAGGCATCAAAGCAGGCATTGACTGGTCAGCTCTGGACGTTTCTTGCTGCAAATTGTTCAGAAATAATTTCGAAACTAATTTTGAAAAAATGTTTTCAAAAAATAATTTTTTCAAAAATAATAACTTCAAAAATAAATTCCAAAAACTTTTCAGAATATAATTTTCCAAAAATAATTTTAAATCATTTTTCAAAAATTATTGTGTTTAATATTTCAAAAATTAGTTTTTGAAATAAAAAAACAAAACATTATTTCTCAATATTTCTGAACAATGTTATTAAATTTCTTAAGTGATTTATTCTATTCAGAAACCACAATCGTCTAAAATGCGAAATTGTATATTTTTAAGACTAAAAACTCACTTTAGCGGACTTCCTAGTAGGTGGAATCCCTGATGTTCCGGGTAAGGATCCATCACAGTTTAAGTTTGGAGTATTTGGAAGCTTCTGAGCAGCAGCAGCTGGTCCTGAATCATTGGTTGGCAATGTTGGTTGTGAATGTTGGGCGACACGAGTCCGTCTCTGTGAAGTTTAGAAATTTGTTGATTTAGCTGTAGTTTGAATATTATAGATTACATTTTGTGGACGTCGGGGTCGTTGTTCTTTTCTCTGTGTAGCTGGTATTAAAACGTCTCTTACTGTGACTGTCTCAGGCAAAGAGCACTGGCGAGCTGGGGACGTGGAAGCCGTTTCATTCTGAAGTTAACCCAATTCAAACTAAGAATGGGGGCTGTATCTAAAACTTACAGAATTCAATCCTACGGGTTGCGGCAATCCTTGTGACTCACGCATCCTTTTACAAACCGTCATACCGATAAACTCAGCCAAATCCAGCTCACTTTTACTTGGTTTCCAAAAAGAGGCAGCTTCATTGGGTTGAGAAACGTGTTGAGAAGTGGCGGTAGAAGGTTCTGGAGCGAGAGAAATAGAAGAAGAGGGACCGGCAACATCTTCTTCAAGTGGAACCAAGTTACATGAAGCATGTGTGACAAAACTCAGAAATCCATTCTGCCTATCAGTCGCTGGGTTGGGTTCCACTACAACCTACAAAAAAATGGATTCTTGTTTTCTAGAGAAACAAATATCATTTACGTCGTGATTTTGGATTGTTGAAAAACTAGATGTGATTGCCGCACTGGTTATATTTTCAGCATCAGTGGGAATAGTGCGATTTTCTGGTTCATCCACTTGAGGCAATTGTTCGGTTTCATCAACTACTGGGTGTGTAGCTTGAGAATTAGCTGGTGATGCTGGCAAGGAGATAGAGGACGATGATGTGCCCGTGTTGGGAGTCATCTGAAATTGTTTTAATGCATTTTTTAAATGTTTTCAATAAAGAACATTTAGTATGTACACGACATAATTTCCATCTGAAACAATACTCACTTCATTCAAGTTGTTGACTCTTTCATGCTCTTCCAATACTATTCGAAGGAATTCAGTATGGTCTTGTAAGTCATTTTGTCCCGAACTCCCACTGCCATTTGCTTCATTCGTTCCGCTTTCAGCTGCTTGGTGATTCTGTGTTGGAGCTCCCTGATCACCCTCTTGTACAGCTTTACTCTTTGGTGGTCTTCCACGTGGTCGTTTTACCTGGAATTTTGTTTTTTATATTTTCAGAAAATCCTGATGAATCCTGCCCGGATCGGATACATCAACTTTGAAATGAATTTTTGTTAAACAAACGACTTGGTCCTGGATTATGCAATCTTGTAAGGCCATCGCAGTTTCTCCATATTTAACAAAGAATTGCGCTTGGAGCATTGTATTGAAAATCAAAATTTACCTGGGCTGAAGAATTTTGTGATGAATCCGTTTCTGTCTTCGGTGGTCTTCCAGGTCCTCTTCCAAATGGACCCTTAAAAAATAACTGTTTCAATTCTTTGAAACATATCTTACTTTGACTTTTGTAGAACTTTTTGATGTTTTCGGTCGACCTCTTTTTCTTGGTTGGTCTCCACTCTTTGACGATGCAGGAGCACTTTCATTCTTTGAATCAACCTGAAGTTTCAAGATTGTAGCGCACCAAAAATTCTAACTTATTTTTAGAAAACGAATTTACCTTGACCGAGGCATCTGGAACATTTCCATCTGTTTTTGGCTTATTCGGAGGTCTTCCTGGTTTTTTCTTTGGTGGCAGTCTACTTATTGCAACGGTCTGAACTGATAATATAAGTCTCGGACAAGGATTTGAAATTGTATCACCTTGTCATCTTCCGATGCTTCCATTTTTTTTGAGCAGTACAGAAACTATTTTTTGTGCAGTACCGTAACGCTGACAGCAATTTGAAGGTCCTGAATTTGAAACAATAGTTTAAAGCTAAAAAAAATGATTGTTACGACATTGTGTTTGGAGGAAAAAATTTAGCGGAGAATTCGAAACTAAATTAAAACTTTAAATTTTCCGTTTTTTTTGTTACCGAACCATAATTTTCCGATAGGAAGAAAGAAATGAAAATGAGCAAAACATTTAACAAATGGAACAAAATTGATTTATAAGTAGAATTGGCTCTAGTCAAGTTTAAGGGTCCCCAGAATTTTGAAACAGAAAACAAAAAAAAGATGGGGGGGGGGGGGGGGGTTTAAAATCCGATTATTGTGAATTTTAGAGGTTAAGATGTCCAAGAATTTGAAAACATTGTTCAAAAACAATCTCAACTATACTTGTGACGACCCAGCTTGAGTTCGTCCCGAACCCGCCCCGGCGGGGCCGTCATTTCACAAGTATGGAAAATTGCAAAAAGCATCTTATGATTAGACCCTTGTGTGATTTTTTTTCTATCAAAATTTTTTTCGAGTTTTTTAGATCTTTTTATCAAACAGGCAAACAATTCAAAAGAACAAAACAAATGAAAAAAAATTATTATAAGCTTAAAATCTGGCCCAAAAATACAGGATTTTTGATACCTGGCCTGGTCCTTGAAAACTTTCCCAAGCCCCAATTTTACAAGTATGGTCCCAACCTTTGTGTGTTTTTGGAAATGATGTTGTCTTTCAAAAACTAAAAAACTGTTGGAAAAAATTATGACTTTTATATCATACATCATCTCGGCTTTGGGTCCCGTATTTTTTCCAGCGCCCTGTCAATTTTTTTTGGGACCACTAAACTGGAAAAAAGTCGAAAAAAATTTCAAAAAAAAATTTCTTGGAATTTATCGGTTGAAACAATCACTTTTAAGTTATAGGCAGAAAACTTAAAAATTTTCAGCCTATCAAACAATGGTTGAAGAATAAATGAGAACAAGTTTCAAAATTGAATTTAGCGGTAAAATGTATTACTTAAAGGTGGTGTGAGGACACATTTTTATTGTTTTTTTCATAAAGAAATTTATGTAGATTCACATAAAACAAAAAAAATCCTTCATTGAGAAAAAGACATCGGAAAGCGAAATGTTAACTGGTGGCCGCTTGGAAGAGCAAGAGTTTTTTAGTTCCCCTGCAGCGTAGAAGCGCGCGAATTCAAATTTTTTCCTTGATTTCAGTTTTTCAGATTTACTCAGGTTTTTTTAAAATTTTTCTTCCAGATATCTTGAAATATTTGAAAAAATCTAGAAGCCCAGTAAATACAAAATAAAAATTTAAATTCGCACGCTTTTTGGCCGCAGGGGGACCAGAAAACACATACTCGGCAACTTTGCATTTTCAATACGGTTTTTCGCATTTTTCGGAATTGTTCTCTATCACACTGTAAATCTAGATACAACTTGGCACAAAATTTGGCGATGAAAATATTATCCGCACACTCTCTATGGATTAACAAAATTTTAAGGAATTTTTGATATGAAAACTCAAGCATTTTTGGAAGACAAACGCTTAAATCGATGAAAAATAAAAAGAAAAAATTCTCTTCAGCGACGTGAAGTGACAGAGTGTATACCACGACGGAGAGACCTCGCGGGGTTGCGTATGAAGTAGTGACTGTTGTAAGTGAAGAGACAGATGAGAGACAGACAAAAAGCGGGAGTGTCGGGTGGGCAGAAAGAAGGTCAAAAGGAGGAGATTTTAAGAAACGAAGAGGAGGCTTGTGTTTATTACAACGCGAAGTAAGATCGTTGGCAAACGATAGCACATGAGAGTGAGAGAAGAAAAAAAAGAAAGAATACATGAAAGAGATAGAGTGAGAGGAGAATGAAAAAAGTTGAGATTTTCAGATTCAGTTCTCGATTTAGGATGACCTCGTGTATTGAACCATTTCTTTGAAACATTTGAAAAATAGAGAAGGATGGATAGAGTGCCGACAACCAGAGAGAGGAAACAAGAAGGAAAGCAGTGAAGAATTTTGCGAAGACGTGTCTTCTTAAAAGATGTGGAGTCGTACTGCTTTATGGATTCGTACGTCAAAAAAAGGAATAAAGGAAGGACTCCTAAATGCAGAAGGGTAGAATTCATAAATGAATGCATCCCAAAGACTTGTATTGTTCCAAAAATGTCCTTCTTGAAGAAAAAAGAGCTACTCGAAACTTTATTCATGGCCAAAAAATTGAAAAAAAATAACCGTATAATGACGGAAACAGTTCTAATATCCAAAACGGAAAATTTGCAAAAAAAAATCTGTTTGCAAAATAATCCAAACTTCAAAACTAGTATATAAATTTTTACGAAAAATATAGAAATCTAATAAAACGTGCGTTTTGATGTAAAACTTTTGAACAGAAAATTTGGACAGAAAATGAAAAATGAAGGTCAACACAAATTTTTTTGATAAAAATACGTTTTCAAAAATGAACAAAATCTTGGTAAAAAAAAAGAAAAAATGGTTGCAGACCCTAGATTCGTCCAGTGACATTCTGAGACACAATTGTGTTGCAGAAAACACAGAAATGTAGATTAATTGAGCTACCAAAATTTTGAAATCTAAATTCTGCAACCCCGGGAATAACATTTTTTTTAAATTTGAATATTCCGAAATTTAAAGGTTGAGGGGCAATGAAAATGAACTTTTTATGTCGTTTGTAAAAGCCAGGTTTGCTCAAAGTGGAAAACGGAAAATCTGAAAGAATCGGACATGATTTTCCAAAAAAACACAACTTCGAAAAAGAACAGATAACCGATTTTCTACAAAAAATGATCCAGAAAAAATTGGATATCCGATTTTCCAGGTACAATTTTCTCGGTTCCTGTGAGAGATATCAAAAAGTAGTCAATTAATAAATTATTTGTGAAGTTAGGACAAATATTTCATCAGTGTGCCACTTTTTGATATCTTTTGAAGAAAACCAGATAATTGAGCTCAAAATGAAGCTCGAAGTAACTACTGTCTCACTTAAGAAAATTGAAAATTGAAACCAGTAATTTATTCAATTCAAATTTCATAATTGCAGAATGTCATTCTTCAAAATATATAAAATCAACCGAGATCATTTCAGTTATTATTCGTGCTCGACCCTTTTTCAGCATCGTTCAATTCCTCGGCACGCAAACGTTCATTCTTTTGTTTCCATCGTTTGGAGTTGCATGCGATGCCAAACGTGCGGACAGCAAAGAACAAGAATTCGATTACACTCATGATACTTGCTCCTGAAAAATATGAAAATTCGTAACAAATTCTCTAAGTATTACAAACCTAAAAACAATCCGGCTTGACCACCCATATCCGCCATCAAGTTGAACCATGAATACGATTCCGACTCGCTCAAAATCTCATAACTCATCTGTTCGTAATAAATTTCGATCATTGCTGCGTGCTGACTGAAATAAATATTGTTGATAATTCCTTTTTCTTTTTAGAACGTACTGTAAATAGCGGTTGCAATCTTTCGACTGATCTTCACAATGTGATTGTGTACTAGCACTGGGCCATTTTGCAGCAGAATATGTTGTTGTATACTGGTCCTGTTTGCAGGGGTGGATACATCTACATCGATTTTTCAGAGATAATTTAGCACCTTCCGTTGTGAGGCAATTCACTGAAATCGACTTTATAAAAGGGAAACTCACAATGTACAACTTACAAACTGTAGAATTTCTGGAATCACACCATGGGCTCCGTCCCCAAGGGTTTGGAAAACGGGGATCCGCACAACCACATTTTCCAATCATACGACGTTGATAGCAAGAACGGAAGCAACCCTGAAGAATGATGAAACTATAAATGAATTTAATTTTTCACTACCTCTGGTTCATATTTATACTCTTTATAAATATTGTCACGTGGCGGACTATCTTCATTATAACAATTTTTGTCTGGTAACCGATTTAATTTTCTCAATGAAATTCCAAAGGAAGAGATGGCTCCAGTAGGTGCTGAGTAGCCGAAGGTATCCGGGAATGGGCATTCTTGTTTTCCATGTATCGCTAATCGTACTCCAGTTGCCTCGGTAGTGGGCAAATAATCAGAAGTGTTGACGAACAACATCAAACGGAGACCTTAAAACTATCATTAAAATTTTCTAGGAGTAGAGGGTTACATACCGTAACTCGGGCCAGCTCGACTACTCGTGAGATTCTTGTTGGGATCCGCATTGAATGTATAGCAATTGCCAAATGAGGAGTCAATGTACAGCCTGATATAATATTTTGAAATTAACTATCAATAAGAAATACAACAACATATTTTTATCTTGATTTTCGGCATTTCCAAAAGTCTGTGGTTCGGCTGTCAAATTTCCATTATTTTTGAAATTTATAGAAAGTGTTAAACAAACCGATCCGATCACTTTGAAAAGTTTAGAGGGTGTAAAACGGACGTAGATTGAATATTTTGCATTCACAAAATTTTCTGAAAACTCCTGGTTTTCCAGCTATTCGCGATATCTGTAAGACACCCATTTCTAGCCTGTTTTGTTCTGGAAATATGAAACAGGTGTCTTCCACAAATCGGAAATAAATGAAATACTACGAATTTCATGAAACTCGACAGCCGAGATCCAGACTTCTGAAAATGATCAAAACGATAATAAATAAACTGGCGATCGCGTTTTTGTGAATCATATTAAACGGTAATGTACTTTAAAACTCACTTAAACTCGGTGTCAATGTTACATTGTTGACCATTAAACGAGCACATTTTAATGAACTCTGATTTTCCGTAACCCAAAGCAGCGCGCCGTTGAGGGTGGAGTCCAGACATTTTCAAAATCATTCTGAAAATGTGTTGTTAGATAAAATGATAAAGAAATTCTTTAATCCCTCACTTTTCCTTCGCCTGTGTGGTGATCGCCACTTGATCGGTCATATTACCATAACCCAGCTGCGTCAGCTGCTCCAAGTACTCTTTACGAAGAGGACTACCCTTTTCGGGAATCTTGTTTCCTTGAAATTCCCAAACTCTCCGTACTCGACTCTCGGGGAGAAAAACACAGTAACCCATTGCCTGGAAAAGTTCAATTTTTAAGACTAAAAATCCAGAAATATTAAGAATTGAATAGAACGCCACCGTATACCGTACTCCTTCTAATAAATGTTCACCCATACCATCAATTATCTAGGTTTCTATGAAATTTACAAAGACTTTGTCAATTGATAAATTATTCATTATAACATGACCAATATTTTACAAGATAACTAATTTCTTATAACTTTCCAAAAAATCTAGATTATTGAGCTTAAAGGTGACTGTCTGGGTGGCCTTCTATTGTGAGGAACACGATACTTGTACTCTGATCTTAATTATCACGGTTTCTCTAAAAGATATTCAAAATCTGTAAACTGAAAAAATGTTTGTCATAATATCACCAACATTTTCATAGTTGGCCAACTTTTGACATCTTTCACAGAAATTTATATAAAATTAAGCATAGAGTACAAAACTAGGGTGACATTTTATCAGTGTTTACTGTACTTTTTGAAGATTATCCGAAATGCCTCATTCTTTGCAATTTATCCTTTCTCCTTCTTCTTCTCCACTCTGAAACTCACCAGTTGACAATAACATGGGATGTTCCCGTTTCCAGTTGTATTCGGCACATTACAAAATCCAATGTCATTGCATTCGGGACAGATCGACTTCTCCCATGTTCTGTAATCAAATACTTGCCAATTCCAAGTTTCACACCCTATTATCAAATTAGCAACAACACATCAAGAAACATCAATTAGTTGGTTCTAAATAGAAGAAAGAGGGAAAAAGGAACATACTGAGCACTATAACATGGCCAAGCACTGCCATCTTGTCGGTCGTAATTACATATGCACGCGTTCTCCAGGCTTCGTGGAATTGAAGTTTGAGCTGGAGAAAAAAAATAAAAATATAGATAAATTGAGAAATGTGAAAACAGGAAGAACTATGAAATTTCTTATTTTTCCCCCACTCACCTATACACTCTTGTTTTCCCGGCACACATGAGCAATCCGAATATACTGGTTCATATTGAAGATATTTAAAAGAAGCTGAAATACATTTTTTTTGCTAAAAATACCGCTCCTCTCTTCATATTTTCTTTCTTCTATTTTTGTCACTTTGAACACTTTTCAAACTGCTCCATCCCCATTTTCAAAAACGTCAAAACTAATCCCTTCAGAGCTATTATCATTTCACTATCTGTCAAACTCATTGACCTTATTTTTGAGAAAAATAGAAAACGAAAGAACAGAAAGACGAAAGAAGAAAAAGTAGAGCTTACGGCCATCATTCAGGCTTCGTTTTCCACGGCCGGTCAGTTCATCCATGGTGGCGTCATTACTATAAACAACGGCTTGGTGGAAAGCGTCGAGCTGAAAAAAAGAGATTTTTGAGAAAAAAGTTTTGATGGCATTCAAAACTCATAAAAATCAGGGCTCAGGAATATAAAAATAAGTATTGTAAATTGAATGTACCGTATTTTCTTTATGATAGAAGCCCAATCAAACCGTCAATTTTGAGCTCAATTATCTTAATTTCATTTGACTAATTTTAGGTTTCTTTTGCAGGAATCGAAATAATCGAGCTCAAAGATACGGTATTTTCAATTCGATTCCAACTTTCCACAAGTAAGAATCAAATTCCCTTTTTACCCCAAAACATTTTTACAACATAAACGTTTTTGGAAGACAAATGCCCGAAAGTTTGTAGAAAATTTATGATAAATTATTTTAATGTCCCACAACCCGTGTAGCCTAATTGAACAGGGTTCAAAAAAGTTGCAAAATTCTGAACTTTCTAATCTCGAATTCTGACATAATCCTTTTCCTGTCCAGTGAATTGTACCACAATTTCACTCAATTGTCCCTCTCCAGTGGACATGGACTTGTGGGATATGGATCTTTGATTCATTGACTAACCGTTTCGGAAATTTCTGGAACACTTCTTGCCAAATGATTCTTGAACGGATTAAGATTACAGACGGTGATCGCGGGAAACGGTGCAGATTCGAACATGAGCTAAATTGAATTGATTTATTTGAGAATTTGGAGTTTGGCAACTTACTTCGACGTTTACAATTTTTTCTTGCCGGTCATATTTCGCTTTGATATGTGAGAAAGAATACAAGCAGAGACCGATGCATATAAAACTGATGATGACCCAAAGAACGCGAACCCAGAAGAGTGTTGTGGTAAATATCTGGAATTTTTGAGGGATATGAAACATTGCAAAATTTTGGAGTTCTAAAACTTACCATGTTAACTCCATGAAACGTAGTTTGCTCACAAAAGTCTCGGACGGTGTGTTGAATTTGCTCCCCCGTTCCTTCTTCCTTTTCAGGGGAGTCATCGGCGAATGGTTTTCGAACATCCTGAAATAATTTGTTTTATTCGAAAAAAGAGTTTTGGTCATGGTTGTTACTTACTCCTAAACTTCACCTAATTTTTAATTTAAAATTCATGAATTCTAGTTGTCGTTTTCTAATATTTTCTAAAGAAAACAAGGCAAATGTGAATGAAATGCTAGAAATGCTTGGATCCTCAGTTTTAATATAGTAGTATAATATGGTTGATAAAATATGAAAAAAACTGTTTCGCCCATTTTCGGGAGTTTGGCCGTCAGTTTTCCGATCGTTTTGAAAATTTTAGAGGGTGTAAGTCCGTAATTAAATACTTTGCGTTTACATATTAGGTTGAAGGGAAAGTAACTGTCCATTTTTTAATTAGTAAATAAAACAAAAACAAGATTAATCCAAGATTGACAGTATTAACTGTCGTGATCAACAACATGTCGTCAACATTTAGGTAATGTGTGGATACCATCCATCCCTCTGAAAGCTAGCTGGCTAATCAAAGTATTACTGTAGTACATTTTTTTTCTCATCGATAATGTTAAAGTCCTTACGTTCCAGATGGAGTCGTTTTTCTCCAAGTAACCAATAACCTGATAGAACAAAATCAGAACTTTCACGGGGGTGAAGGAGAACCGTCCAGCCAAAACGGCTCTGATACGAGGTGACTTTCCGTGAACATGCGGTTTTTTCATTTTTTAACGACAGTCAAGTCAGAGCTGAGCCGCTTCAGCGAGATGGTTCTCCCTCACCTACTTATAGTCCTGACGTGGCTCTATCACTTTACTGGTTATTCGGAGGTATAAAAAGTCATCTGGAGGGTGACGAATTTTGCACCATTTATGAGGAAAAACTGGAAAAACGAATGCTTTGATTCGCGGCTAGCTGGCTTTAGCAGATATCATATCCACAAGTTACCTGAATGTCGCTGTGGACCACGGCGGTGCATACTGCTAATCTTGGCTCAACCTGGTTTTTGTATTATATACAGATAAAACAAGGGACAGTTACTTTCCTTCCAACCTAATAATTTTTTGAAAATTCCCAGTTTCTCAGTTATTTGCGAGTTTTTTCAGAAAAAGTTTGTTCCTTTTTCAACTGAAATCGTGAAAAAATCAGGCGTTATTCAGAAATTGGCAAAGAGCTGAAAAAACTAAGATTTTTCAAAAAATTCTGTAGATGCAAAGTTGTTAATCTAAAGTTGTTTTCAACACTAAAATTTTCAAAATATTTCTACACTAGACAGTCAAGCTCCAGGTCCTTGAAAATACTAAAAATGGCCGAAAAACAACTGAAAATATGTTTTTGTATATCTTATTGACCGGTACTGTAAGTATTTCATTAGTTGAGTTTGTTTTTGGTTGAAAATTAGGAAATTTCAAATAATGCATAAGTTCAACTACAGTATTCCTCATAGCAGTAGAGGAAAAATTAAAAAAAAAGGTCGAAAATGAAAAAAAAACTTTTTCGACTCTTTGAACTTGTTGAAAGGAGAAAACTTGACTTACAGCTCTCTAGGGATATCACATCACACACATATTTCTCAATTTTTCACACTTCCCCTTTTCGGATTTTTTATCTTATTTTCTTTTCTATCGTGTCTCTTTTTTTGCAAAAATAAATACCTTTGACATTTTGGCCAAAGTTCTCGAGACATCTGCCAAAATGGAACTTTTCCTTCGGACAGGAACCGGTACATGAAGTTCTTGAGGATTACTGTGCGCTTGCTCGTAATTTGGAGGAGCACATGAAGGATTGATACTCAATACCATTTAGGGCATAGCTTTTTAAGATTTTCAGACTTTGGGTTAGAAGTATTTACAAAACGGAGAATAATAAAAATAGTAGTTGTGGGAATTCAAAATGTCCACACAGAAAATTGAGTGTTCCGGAGTTTTTTTTCCGTTAAAAACAAGTACTCTTCTTCTTTTTGAAAGAAAAGACACACTCTGAGCCCTCGTTGGTGTCAGATGATGGCTGGGCGGGACTTGGCCCAGTCTGTCGACGGCTTCTCACCAAATCTATCAATTCAGTTGAGAAAGAAAGAGAAGGGTGAAAAGGGTGACGGAAGAAAGCGAGAAAAAAAATAGAAGAAATGGAATAAAAAAGAGTGCCGCTCACTTTTTAGTGGGTCATATCTGAGGTCATAGGCACGGGTTTGGGTTTTCATTTAAGATTCCAGGTATGAGATTTATTGTCCCTCGAACCAACTGATAGAAATGACGTCATCAAATTTTACGGGCTAGAAAAATTGAGCCGAGTTCTACTGAAATTATTAGCTATCAGTATGAAAAATTTTATATCAATCTATTTCGGATACATTAAAAATTGGGAAATTTGAAAAAAAACTTTTAAATTCCAAATTAAATAAAAAACCAACAGTTATTGTTGAGTAACCTTTCCTGTGTCTTTTGCAAAAAAACCTACAAAAACTCTTCTAATTACTCTTCTAATTAATGATGAGAGAACCTAGAGCAACATTGGTCAGCAACATTTTAAGCCTAACATCATAAAGCCACCCCAAAAACAAGCTTTAATTTTTTGAAGCAACAGTATTTTGAAAATCTAAAAGAAGAATTGTAATCAATATTTTTTATTATCCCGATAATATCAATTTGGTAACCGGAATCATATAATTAGTTCGTTCTGTACTGAAAACGAGAAAAACAGGTGTATTCCAAAAATTGCAAAAAGCTAAAAAACTAGTAACTTTCGAAAAAATCTCTAAATACAAAGTTCTCAATCAAGACCTGTTTCACACTCTCCAACATTTTCAAAGTTATCGGACACTTGATAGCCGCGCTCCAGACCTCTAAAAATTGTCAACAACAGAAACCACGGTTTTGTGTATCTTGTTGCCCGGTACTGTATATTTTTCCCAAAAACTGCGAAAATCAATACTTACTGAGATTATCAGGTATGGACATGTTTAGTGAGAAAATATTCATGAAAAAACAAAAAAAAGTTTTCTGGAAACTTTCACATTTTTTCCATAGCGTTTTCAGTGTCTTATTTGTTCAAAAAACTTATGAGAAGCTACGGAATTACCGTACTAACTCTTCAAAATGCTAGTGAAAGGAACTAGAGCTACTGTAAACATTTATTTTTCAAATTTCTGAATTTTAAGAATTTCTTTTTTTCCATGTTACTTTTTTTATTTCTTAATCTGGCAAAATCCTCATTGATATTTTCAAAACAATCAGAACTCCTGGAATATGACTTTATATTAGACCTTATAGAGTGTAGTTTGTTTTTCTGTCTAAGGTTTATATTTGGGTCATACATCGTTTTTTACATTATATCCATTTCAAAACATGTCCCAGAAAAATTATAAAGACAATAACTCATGATTCTAAATGAAAAACTCACCGAAGATAAACTGAATATAGAATATGGAGTTCTGGTAATGCGCTGTTTCAATGCAGTGCACGAGAACATCGTCATATCAAAGGATTCTCACATTCAAGAAGCTTTTTTCAACGATACTGACAAAGAGCCGAAGCTCAAAAAAGTGCACCAATATCTTAAAAATGAGTGGGATGGGTGAAGAAAGTGGGATCCAGAATCTTCAACACCACCCAGTGGTGCTTTCGAAATAACATGGATAAATGTGTTGGCCGCCGGAGCCCTTTTTAGGTAGAAAAGAGGAAAGGCGTCGAAAGGTCCATGAGAATTGTGGCCCACCAGGGACTCGTTTACGTTTTCTCTTTGGAAAGTGGAAAGAGTTTCACTCTCTTGCAACTATGTGATCTTTTTTTGGTTGTGGACCTTTTGCAGAGATGGATTTCAATCTGAATGTGAATTAACCAGTGTTTTCTCCGCATTTTTATCTGGATTAAACGGAAAATGAAAACGAGAAGTGAGGATAGAAAGCTAAACACAGAGACTAATTTTCCCATACTCCGAGTGTTTTTTTTTCTGTTCACGTGTATATCCTACCGTAACACTCAAACTGAATACTCCCTTTAATACTGAAACTCAATTTATTTGAAGCCAATTTGTCTCAATTCCCGTCCGAGATATCTAAAAGTGTATAACTGATAAAATATTCTGAATTTCATAATAAATCATTTTTTCGAGTTTCAAAAATCATAAAAAATAGAGAAGTTATCTGTAAATATTGTTCTCTTGGTTTTTATTTTTCCACCCACGTTCCAGAAAAATCTAGAGATGTGTGAAGTTGTGAAGACAAGTCAAGAGCCGAAGGGAAGCTATAAAAAAGACCTACGAACCCTAAAAATAAGTGAGTGTTGAAGGTTTTTGAAAAATTTCTCCCAGTAGACCAGGATGGTGATGTAGTGTTGAAAAGGAACATTTTTGGAACAGAAATAAAAAAAAACATCTGACAGTTGAAAGAAATTATTCGAACTTTTTGGTTTGCTTATAATTTTTTTAAAGAGCGAATTCCAGTTTTCAGTCTATTGGTTTTTTCTTAATTTTTCAACGATTTTAATTGCTATTTAATTTAAATCATAAAACATATTTAAAATGACGGGAACCATTGAAAAAACGATGAAAATGAAGAAAACAGGCCCAGAAAATACTGTAACTGCTCATGCGCCATTAAATATGCTTTTCAGAAGAAATTCGTTCTCAAAGTAAATCATTTTGGAAAGTTGTGATATACTGATGTTAATTTTTAAAAAATTTTTTTGGAAAATTTTATCTTAATTTTCAATGTTTTCATTGATTATTGATCATTCTGTTTTTGGCTCTCTATTTTGGTCCCAATCAGGAACTCTACCTTCACCTGAATTCAATTTCTCCCCTTCGCATCAATTCCTATTCCAACTCCCGAGAGACAATTCAGTCTATCACAATTCTGGTCTAGTACCTCTTTCAAAACTTTGTACTAGGAACGCACTAGGACCCCTCTAAAGTTTTTCTTTCAATTCTTCTCTTTTTCCCTAGTGATTTTCGCAAAAAAAAACGAGAGCTATCTTTTCTAAACTTTTTCAACTGTGGTTTCTCTGAATAAATGAAAAATAGAACAAGGAATTGTACTTGTTTCAAGTGGCGGTGGTCTTTGAAAAAAAGGGAAAAACGATTAATAACGAACGATTGAAGGAGAGGAAGGTTCTCTAGGGAGGGATTAATGAAAATGTAGAAATGCAGAAATTGGAATACTTGATCACTGGTTGAAAAAAAATTTTCTGGATAAAAGTTCACGAGAAACTGTTCAGCTAAACCTTCAAGTGTTCAAAGATCTGAATGTAGTGAGAAAGTTACCAGAGTAAAAATCATTTAAATTTAAATACTGTATCGGTCAATAAAATATACAAAAATATATTTTCACTCGATTTCTGGCGTCTAGAGCTCAGTTTTCAAGTTTCCGATCGATTTGAAAATTAAGGTGAGTTTAAAACAGACCTAGATTGAAAACATTGCATTCATAGAATTTTTTAAAAATTCTTTGTTCTTCAGGTATTTTCAGCTTTTTGAAAGACACCTTTGTTGGTCTTTATTCGTACTGAAAACGTAAATAATCGAGTGTCTTTTAGAATTTGGAAATAGCAGAAAAAACAGAAATTTTCTAAAAATTATGTGAATGCACATTTTTCAATCTATTTCAATTAACATTGTCAAAGTTGTCAACGCGAACGGAAACTGGACACCCGAGCTGCAAACTCCTCAACATGGGAAACATTGGGCGAAAATCAACATTTTCCGGTTATAAAGTACATAGAACGAGTACTGTGATAGGATTACCGCATTTACATCAACATAACGCAATCCTGTTGAACCTAAATGATCTCGATTTCGGTAAGAGGTATCAAGAATTGTGGATTGCAAAATTGCAATTTCATTATGGGACAGTGATGAAATCTTATAAGAATAAATGGGGTATCTCTTACCGAAAAAAGGATATTCAACTGACAAAATATTGCTCTTTTTTGAGAATAATAAATAGGATTACAAATATTTTTCAAAGGGTTTGTGTTAGAGAAACACATTACGATTTTTCATTAATAATTTAAAGGATACTTGTCTACAAAGTCAAGAAAAACGTATCTAAATCAAGTTCTTCTAGAAACCAGCTCTAAATAGAAAAAAAATTTAATCTTAAAACTCACCGTTTGCTCCTTCTTGAACTTTTTGACCAGTGCCTCTGTTTCTCGGTACTTCTCCTCATTCCGTCGCAACAACCTCGGTGTTAAAATCCGATGCACCAAATTTTTCCTGTTTCCCATTTTGAGACCAAACGGCATTATTGCATTTTTCAAATCTTCCTGAAATTGATAAATTTCTCTAAAAATTTTATTAAACCAAAAATAAAAGGCAAAAAACCAAAATAACATTTCGAAGAATATGTAATGGACCATAAACCCCCCCCCCCCCCCCGCAATTTTCAAACCTCATGCTTCTAAAAATTAGCATTCTGATGAGGTGAGGGGTTCGTAGAAAAACACAAAGGTCATGAGATCAAATTCAGAAGTAAAAAAGCGGGGGTACCTATCTCCACATCACGGCTTCTACTATTCCTACCAGAGTGGGGGGCAGCCATCAAAAAATGACATTTGTGTGGTTTCTGCTAGTCGAAAAAAAAGTTGATTAGACTTTTAATTTGTCACGGCATGGAATGCAATTCGGAGTAGACATGGGGAACGTAAAGAGCTAATTTTTTCAGGAAAAA